CCCAGAGAAAGCTCCTCACTTGAAATTCCTTCTAATTCCAGTCAACGTTCTTTTGAATGTTATTAAAATTACATAAGTGGCTTCATGCAATTTTAATATTCTCTACCAACAAATTCTGCAGAAGAAATCCCCCCAGGCGCCCCCATTGATCATTTTAAGCAGATACAACAAAGGATTTCAAGACATGAGTTTTAACCAGAAAGAAAATGAAATGAATATTTCATTTATGATGGGTCATTTGATGATAATTTTTTTCTAATTTTTTTATTAAAAAATCAAACAACCAAATCTAACCTCTTATAAAGGCATTGAGTAAGTCGATACCAACCTCTTGGATTTATCAAACACCCTTTCCACCAAGGTTCCTTGTAACAACGGGACGGAATTTACAGGTCAATAATCTGTAAGACAGTTTTGGTCCTGCACTTTGTGAAGACAGATGCCCTCGTAATGTTTTACTTGTCCCTAATCTCCCACTGCTACTACCCTTCTGTCCCCACCACTCAGTACCTGTGAATCAAAAGCTTGTGCCTGAAACTTGAAAACCTCTTAGAAGATTCCAAGAGACCCCAGAAGAAGCACAGAGCCTGGATCCTTGTGAATTCAACCCAAAATGTTTGTAAGTAATAATGACTTTACGGCTGTTACTGTACAATACAGACTCTGGCTGGCCTTCATCTCTGGTTTCCGTCTTAATTTCTAAATCTTTGGACTTTTTGAGTGATAGAAGTGTCTTTGTTACTTATGGTGGACTTATTGCTCGCTTTATGGGAAGGAGATGACTCTGAATGGGGGCTGGCCAGGCTAGAAAGACCAAGCAGGTGATCAGAGGATTGGGACTTTGAGCCAAGTGATATCATTCTAACCTGCAGAGAAGTGGGGAAGATGGAGATTGACTTCAATCACAGAGCCAGTGATCACGCAAGCACACCTATGTAATGAAACCCAGTAACAACTCTGGACACTGAGGCTCGAGTGAGCTTTCTGGTTGGTGATACACATCAATGTACCTAGAGGACGGGGCATCCTGAAGGCATGGAGGCTGCACGTTTGGGAGCCTCCAGACTTTTCCTGGCGTCTCTTCATTCGGCTGCCTGCGTTTTGTATCCTTCACAGTGAAACTGTAATCATCATAAGTATCATACTTTCCTGACTTTCATGAGTCTTTCTAGTGACTTCCCAAAGCTGAGGGGATAGTGAGAACCCACATATTTGTAGCCAGTGGGTCAGAAGGGAAGGTGGCCTGGAACTGCAGAGCTTCTGCCCAGCATCTGAAGTGAGAGCAGTCTCGTGGAGACTGGCCCTTGGCCTGCGGCACATGAACTCACCCCTGGTGGTCAGTGTCAGCATGGCATTGCAGCCCTGCCTCCCACCAACTCATTTGCATACTAAGGAGCTGTGGGGAGACACAATTGGTGGCAAGCTTTGTGGGGAGGGGAGCTGGTGACATCATTAATGTTCCAATATGTAGATATTTGGAGTTTGGGGTGTGGTAGAAAGAATCCTGAGATAGTCTCCAGCATTCCTGCCTTCTGGTGTCCTCTCAGTGTAACCCTCTCCCCTTGAGCGCGAAGCTGCACGGGGGTATGAGGAATTTCACTCCTGTGATCAGGTTATGATATATAACATCACAGTGTCAGCCTCGTAAGACCCTGAGTGAGAGCTACACTGCGCCCAGACTCCGTGAGATGATGGATGGGTATTGCTTCAAGCCACTAAGTTGGTGATAATTTGTTCTGCAGCCACAGGAAAGTAATATGCAGGGAAATCGGTACTGGTTGAGGAAGCAGGAGGACACAAACGCCCGTGCTGCCAATGTCAAAGGCCACCCAGTGGCCATTCCTGTGCTGCCAAAGGCAGAGCGAGCTGATTGGAAAGGAGAGCCATCAGAATGCGGAAGAGGAGAGCAATCAGAATTTTTTATGACATGAAACCAGATTCTAAGATGGGAGCCTAAAGGAACTCTTGGGTTGGAGAAAAGATGTTTGGCCTCAGAAGAAGAAGCTTAATTTCTGTCTTTAAACACTGAATGAGCTGTCCTATGCCAGAGGCATTAAACGTGCCCCAATGACCAGAAGCACAAGATGGGTATGATCTCAACGTGAGGATGACAGTCCCAACACCCCAAAATACCTAGAAAATGAAAACAGCTGCCTTTATTATTGGTACTCTTAATTCATTCCAAATTTCTAATTAACTCAAAGTACACAACATACAATTGAATTAAATTGGAAATAGGAGAAAAAATCAGGACAAACAAATGGAGCCTAGAAAATGAATAGAGCCTGGCTGGTGTGGCTCGGTGGTTGAGCGTCGACCCATGCACCAGGAGGTCGCTGATTTGATTCCCAGTCAGGGCGCATGCCCAGGTTGTGGGCCAAGTGGGGGGCATGCAGGAGGCAGCCAATCAGTGTTCTCTCTCATCGATGTTTCTATCTTTCTCTCCCTCTCCCTTCCTCTCTCTCTAAAATCAATAAAGAAAATTTTTAAAAAGAAAACAAAAATGAGTAGGTGAATAGCTGTCAACCATAGGCACTGGGTTGGATTAGAATCTCCCCCGGTCCATACCCACAGTAATTCTACATTTTGAGGTCGCTTCAAAGAGTCAGGATCACGTTAGCCAAGTGATGCTAAGGATGTGAGGATGAATTGAGATGGAACTAGGTCATGAACAAAGTGACACCCGCATCCTGCCCTCCTCTCAAGTTTCTCAAATGAAAACAATAAACTGAGGAAAAAGAGGACTGGCATGCTCTAGGGCTTTACCCCAAACCTCAGGATGGAATTCTCCGAAGTATGACTTAGTTTTGTAGAATACTCTTTACTTAAGCAAGGGTTTTCTGGTGGCCTCATGCCAAAGCACTCTAAAGACCTACTCTGATCATTTCACCCCCAAAACAAAAAGCCCAAGCAAGGACCCAAAACCCTAAGGGAGCTGACCTAGGACACTCACTCCAGACCTTTCTCTACCCAGGGAGAGCCAAACAGTTTGGACTGTCCTCCTGGGGTATTCCTTGACTGTCACCCTAGATGTTCCCTCTGCCTCTCAGCGGGGTTACATTCTCCATTTCCTGACTTTCGTTGCATCGTCTTTCTTGCATGATTTGCTCCTCTAGTTGAGCACATCCTTTAATAGCTTTCTGAGAAAAGGCAACTTTAAAGCTTGCCTGGCTGAAATAGCATCAGTCTTTCTTCTTCCTTGACTAATGGTTTATTGACTAGAGAATTCTAAGATGGAGACATTTTTCTCAGAATGTGAAAGCATTGCTCCATTGTCTTATGCCTTCCTACATTGCTCTTGGGACGCCTGAAGGCATTTTCACTGCTGGGTATGTGGTCTGTTTTTCCTCTGCGCTTTGGTGTGGGATTTCTTATTCCTAGCCCTGGATGCCGTCTCAATAGGCTCTTTCACTCTGGAAATTCATGTCTTTCAGTTCTAAAATCTCTTAAACCATTTCTGTCAGTTCCGTTTTCTCCTCCCCCGCATGCAGGCTGGGCGGGGCCACCTTGGGGGCAATGGCAAACACAGTAAGCGCAGGCCCGCATGCATGTGTACTGACCCCTCCCTACCCAGGGCGTCATGAAGGGAGCACCTGCTTTCCCAGCCTTGGTTCCAAGGGATCAAGGCCTTCACTGCCAGCATCGTCTGAGTAAAAACAAAGCAGGCTAACTCCCGTACCCTCGAAATGCCCAAAGCCAGTGGGACATGAACAGCCCTGCAGTCCTCAGAATCGTCCTCAGAGCCCATCTGACTAGTGTAGCCTGAATTCACCAACTTGACTGCTGATTTTCTCTGATCTGACCGTGAACTTGTCCTCCACATCCCTCTCCCTACAACATAGGATGTATCCCTCTATATACTTCTCACCCAAAATCTTTATAAGGGATTCCCTTTCCTCCATGTTCTCTGTTCTTTCTTTCTGAAACTTGTATCCGCTTGATATTGGACCTTATGGATTGATTATCTAATTTTATCTTTTCTGCCTGTTTCTCATCTCTGTGTTGTTTTATTTTTATACTTCTGTCTGGGTGGTTTCTGAAACTTTATCTCCCAGTACTTCTATGGAATTTTTAAGTCCCTGCTATTGTATTAATCTATGGCTTTTTCTTTAACATAGCAGCTTCCTCTTGTCTGGGAAAAGCAATACTTCATTTACCTATTGTCGCGGTTCTAAGTAGTCTTCTGCTTGCCACTGTGTATCTTCGTATCCTTCACTTTTCCTGTGATTTTTGTTTGCTTTTGTTTTGAATTTTCGCTGCAGTTTTTGTCTCTCGTTCATATTAGCAGTATTCCTCAAATGCCCAGTAGCTTTCAGCGACCCATAACCAGCCCGAGGCACTCAGAAGCTGGTTGGAAGCATGTCACAGAAGGGCAAAGCCTACCAGCTGGGGGTGACAAGGACCCCACTGGCTTTTTCCTCACTGAAGAGTAAGGAGTTGGCTTCTTTTCAATGCATGTTGTGCAGAAGAACTGCTGCCCCAAGGATGGTACTCACTGCGCTCCCCTGCCCTGGCTGAAACTGCCCACTCTCAGCTGTGGTGGGAGTAGCTGTCCAAGCCCCGCTGTCCTGGCCAGACACCAGACGGCTGCCCGTTTACATGCATCATAACAAAGATGCTGCTCATGTGCTTCCCCATGGTGGAGCTCTCCCTGTGGAAGAGCCATCCAGGGTCCTTACACACCCAAGCCTTGCTCTGTGCTGCTCTCTCCTGCCCTTTCCCGTTCACACGTGGTCAGTGCCATCAGGAGGTGAGCAGCGGCTGCGGAGCAGCACAGCCACCTTTCTGGCCCTCACAGGAACCCTCCCGCTGAGCATCTCCAGAGGAGGGCCTGTCAAATGCCAAAGCCTGGGCGCCTGCCACGGCTGGCCCTCGCCTTCCTCACCCTTCGGAATTTGCTTTGTTCTGCAAAGAGAATGTGGTTTCCAGGGAAACAGGTCACCAGTGTTCCATGTGCACCTGCCACGCAGGTGGTAAGAACACAGGGAAAGCCCTGGAAGATGCTGCTTCTCCTGCTCGGCTGTCTCCTGCCTGCCACTGAGGCCCGGGAGAGGACCTGCCTCCGATGCTGGCCGGCACTGCCCGCGCTGATGGACTACGACCTGCAGGTTCTCTGGGGTGCTCCAGAGCCGCCCAAGGAGCTCTCCCGGAGCCTCCACTCCCTGCTCCTGGAGGCTCAGGACTTCCCGGAACCCTGGTATCTTGGTGAGGTGCCCTGGAGACCAGTGGTCAAGGCTGGCCCCTTGCCGGGTCTCAGACCTCACTCCCCTGACTCGCCTTCCTCTCACATCCTATTCTCAGATCAGGACCATTTGGAGAAAGAAACGGCCAGATTATTTGATCACATAGATAAAGCCATTAAGAACTTTCGAGTTGGTGAGGAAGCTGGGTGTCCCAGGGCCCCCAGGTTTGGGTCAACAAAGTCTGGCCCTGCAAGACATTCCCAGAAGACCTGCTTGTCCTGGGTGGTGGGTGTTCTGAAGGGGGGGGCGGGGCAGGCAGCGTCTGTCTGCATGCTTGTCTACGGAGTTTCTGGTTGAAAAATCTGGCTTGATGTCCCAGTCTTGAGAAGGCTAGGTGATTTACACGACCTATGAGACACAGGTAACCGAAGCACCCTTCCCCTCCTATTCCACCCAGATACAACCTCCCTTCTGGAAGAGATTAACATCTGGAAGCAGCTGTTTTCTACGAGCTTGAGCAAGATTTCTGAGGAGCTGAAGGATAAGGGTGAGAGGTGGGGCTGGCCTGCCACACCCAACCCTTCACTGCCCTCAAGACCTGAGACGGAGAGCAGAGTCCAGCGGGCGCCCCTTCCGGGTCCCTTCCCTGGAGCCCCCGTCCCGGCCCATGTACTGGGTGCTTGTCCGCACCTCCAGCTTGTCCACATTTCCTGTGCTCACCCAACCCCTCCGGGCTCTGTCCGCCTCCCAAGCACTCAGTTTCTCTGCCATCTCACCCTCCCGGGCAGCCTGCAACAACTCCTGTGGTGAGTATCTTGGGGGACCAGGTCTGGGCTAGGGGTGAGGGGCACCTGGCCCTCTCTAAGGCTCCTGCTCATTCCGTCTCACAGACCTACACTCCAATCTAGAGGTCATCAACTGTGTCAACTGCAGAACACACCTCCTAACCTGCGAAGACCTTACTCTCTGCCCAGGTTAGTGGCCACGGTCCATCCGGCCTCCAGCCTCCTTGTCCCCATGCTCGGGTCCGTTGTTGTCTCTGTCTGGATTGTCTTCCAGTTCTGTCCAGCCCTGAGCTCTTCTTGCTCTCCATTGTCACTGGTGAAGGTAGCACCTCTGAGATTTCTAGTTCCACACGCCCAGCTTCAAAACCATAGAGCCACCTGTCTTTGGGATGTCCTCCTCCAGTCCTCAAAGCCAGCTGCCTGGAGACCTGCCCAATCCCGTCTCCACCTCCCAAATCTGCTTTTCTTTAGGGCCCCTCTTAGCAAATGGCCCCACTCAAGACCTCAGCCTCCTAAACCAGAACTTGCCGTCCCCTTACTCAGTATGTGTAATCACCACGTCTTATGAACCAGTGCTTGAACGTGTTGCCATATTCTTATTCCAACATCCCACCCTTCTCCAGGCCTCTTCATCTCTCCCCCACATTATAGCAACCTCTGCCTGGCCTCCTGCACCCTCCTGGTCACATCTTACTCAGCAATCAAAGGACTTCTTCTCAAGCAGAAAATCTGCCTATGACACTCCCTGTTTATAACTTTCTGTAGCTCCCACTTCTCTCCAGATAAAGCCCACTCTCCTCTGGAGGCCCTGTGTGAGCAACTGCTGCTCACCTCCAGCCCCTTGACTCCCCAACAATACTGGACAGCTTTATGCTTCTGTCCTTGAACATTCTGTGCCCTTTGCCTGGAAAACAGTTCTGCCCCTTGATCATCGGGGCGGAATTTCTTCTTGTCTTTCAAAGTCAGCCCCAAGGCTGGCTCCTCTGCCTCACACAAGATTACTCCCCTGTGCCTGTCCTGCCCGCCTCCCATGGACACCAAACTGTGCCTGCTTGCGTGTCTCCCTGCTAGAGAGCAGGGCCATGTCTCATTCACCTGGGTGTATGCTGGGCACATAGTAGGTGCTCAGTAAGTGCTTGTAAACAATTGACGGAGTGGGTGAGTGAAGCAAGGAAAGAGGGTGGCTTTCCCTCTGAGCCAAGATGACCCTGACTGCTGCACGAACCCCTGGCTCCCCCTTCCCACCCCAGGCAGGACCCAGCAGACCTTCCTGTGGGCTGTGAGCTTGGGCATTACTCTGCCCCTGGCAGTCATAGCTGGAGGTGGGTGAGTGACTTCTCCAAGCCCCAGCAGCCCCAAAGAGAACACACCTGCCCCCTGACTGACCCCGTCCACCCTGTTTCCGGGCCCAGATCTTACATTTTCTGGCACAGAAAGAAGATGAAGAAGGCAGCAGAGGTACTGGGAGGAAGTTTCGGCCCCACTCTACGGTCCCAAGGAGGGGATGCTGGGTCTGCCCTGTGGGTGGCAAGGCTGGGGGCTCCAACGCTGCCTCCCAGGGTCTGGCATCTAGAGCAGAGGGGGCTTGGGGCCGGAATCTATTAGCCTCCCCCACTTCACCCAACGTGGGCAGACACCCTGGGGGCCAGAGGCCCAGGACACAGAGGCAGCAAAGCTCAGGTCTCCACCTGATCCACAAAGTGCCCTCCATGCACCTGTCACTGTCCCTCTCCGGACGCACTCTGCACGTCACCACCAGCCCCCTGACCAGCACAGATGACCAAGATGCCCCAGGGAGAGCGCAGGGGGAGGGCCGACGGGAAGTCAGGGAGGAAACCCCTGCTTTGCTCTTGACAGGAAGCCAGCCACAGGCCCCTTGTCTCCTCCGACTGAACACAGGTCCCAGCACTGTCAGAACGCGCGCTCGGCCCCGGGTTCCAGTAAGTCTCCCTCCCGGCCCCTCTGAACTGCAGTGGTAATAGCTCTGAAGTTCCGAGGACAGGAGGACCGCACTGTGCCGGGGCTTCCCTGTGCCCACGCCTTGTACGTTCCTTCATTAAACACCCAGTGTTCTGCCTGAGGGCAGTGCCCGGCTCCTGCCGGGGCGGGGCAAGTGCAGCCGCAACGCGATCCTCCAATCCCCCCCACCCCCGTGTGGTCCTGCGGGGCCTGTCCCTTCTCCTCCCCCCTCCCACCATGCACTCCGCCTCCTACTCTCCTGGTCCCAGCAGTGGTACCCACAGGCTCGCAGCAGCCTCCCCCAACTCCAGCACCGGGACGAGGGCAGGGGGGCCGGCCTCTCTCGAGGAGTCCCAGTGTCTGGGTGTGGAGCAGGGCAGAGAGAGGCCACCTGAAGGCCCGGTAAGAGCAGGGACTCGCATAAGAACACTAGCAAACAGGCTCCAAATCACACTAAGAGCAGTCTGTGCCATGCCCTGGCCAAGATGTCCACCCTCGGGACACCAAGGGCCCCTGCGGCTCACTGGTGCTGCTGTCAGAGGAGTCTCCCTGGCTCTGCCCCGTCCTGCTCCCTCTTCCTCCACGTCCTTTCGCGTCAGCCCCAAGGCTTCCAGGTTACATGGAACCCAGTGTCCCGAAGGCCCGACTCGGCCCCTTCCCCTTGGCCCTGTGCCCCTCCTCACCGATTCTCCAGGGCCCCCAGCCTGGGCCCCGGCTCTGCCCTGACACTAAATGGACTCTTGCCAACCTTGAGGCTACCGCCAGGCTCAGGGCCCTGCTCAGCAGGCCAGCTCCTGCGGACGGAAGGGAAGCGGATCTGGGGCCAGAGCTGCAGACCGGTGGCCCGGAACCCGATTCTAATCCTGGCTCAGATGCCCAAGCCCTGGGTTCCCCTCTGCATCTGTTTGCCCATCTCAACACAGAGTGGGGTGCCCTTCTTTAACCAGGGTACATCCAGACCCTGGAGCCACTGGGTTCATGTTGCCATCCCGTATTTGCCTGTGTTACGAGTCCCAATTCAAATGCCCCCATTCCCTTCCCCTCCTGCAGTCCTCTGCTGGGGCCCACAGCCCAGCTCCCAAAACCAGGCCTCTTGCCTTCTTAGGCCTGCTGGTGCCCCCCCCCCAGCCCCCACCCCACCTGGGAGCTGAAAGCAGGCTGACTTGGGCAGCACCGCCCCACAGTAAGGGCCCTTCTTGGTTGGGGCCGAAGGATTGCCCGACACTGAAACGAGGTGTAAATAGACCATAAATGGCAACCTAGGCAGGGAACACCATGGCCAAGGGCAGCGTGGGTCCCAGCCACGGGTATCTCCAGCTCACCCAGCCAGGGATCCAAAAAGGCCTCTCTGAGGCAGTGTCTTCAACTGTGAGAGACAAGGGAGGCAGAAAGGAAGGGAGAAGTATTTGCATGGAGGGTTCAAGTTGCAGAGTAGAGAGACATGGATGGGACCGTGCAACTCTGAGAACTGGTATGGTTCAGCGAGAGGCCCAGGTGAGAGGGTGGTGACAGGTGAGGCCATGGGAGCTCCCAAGCTTGTACAGGCCTGAAGGGAGCCTGACAGAAAGACCTGGGGCAACAGGTGGGCAGGGACCTGAGGAGAGACAGTGTCAGGTTTTGCCAGTGACGGCTCCGAGTCCCAGGAAAGAAGACAGATGGGACATGGAGGAGGACAGATGTTCTGGGGGCAGACATGGCTCCATGTGCTAGAAGTTGAGACGCCCTTCCACCAGTCCACAGACCCTTACAGAGCTGGGGGAGGGGCTATCCAGGTAGGTGTTTATGGAAAGCAGAAAACACTCCAAGGACATAGCTGTAACCGTATGGTGAGGACATACTCATTCCTCTTTTGGGTGACTGGACCAGAGCCCCAGGCGGGCAGTGGTCATGGACATTCAGGAGACCATGGTTCTTTCTGCTTGTCTACAAAAGCCAATTGTTATCCAGGACACAGGAAACGTCAGGTTTTTGTGGCAATGATGTTGTTTTCTTATTTGTATTTAAATTTGGATTTATTTTTTTTTCCTTTTTCTTATCTTTTAATTTTTTTCATTTATTTATTTTTTATTAATTAATTTTAGTTACAGATGTTTCTCCTTTTTCCCCCACTGATTCCCCCCTCCTCCTCCCTCCCTGCCCTGTCCCCAGTTTGTTGTCCATGTCCACTGTTCATGCATACATGCATATAAGTTCTGTGGTTTATCTCTCCCCCACCACCCCCGCTTCTGGGGATTGTCAGTCGGTACCCCACTTCCACGTCTCTGGGACTACCCCATTCCTCAGTCTGTTATGTTCATTATATTCCACAAATAAGTGAGATCATATGATACTTGTCTTTCTCTGTTTGGCTTGTTTCACTTAGGATGATACTTTCCAGGTCCCTCCATGTAGTCTCAAAGGATAAGAGATCTTTCTTTCTTACAGCTGCATAGTACTCCAGTGTGTATATGTACCACAGCTTTTTTATCCTTTCATCTACTGATGGACACGGGCTGTTTCCAGATCTTAGCTATTGTAAATAGTGCTGCTACAAACAAGGGGGTACATATATTCTTTCTGATTGGTGTTTCAGGCTTCTTAGGGTATATTCCTACAAGTGGGATCACTGGGTCAAATGGAAGTTCAATTTTTAATTTTTAGACCATTACCTCAAAAATATCCAGAGCCACATTTTTTTATGTATGCAGTAAAAATAGAAAATCCACGCCCTGGCTGTTTGGTTCAGCAATTAGAGCGTCAGCCTCGGAACGGTCATGGGTTCAATTCTGGTCAAGGGCACGTACCTAGGTTGCAAGTTCAATCTCTGGACCTGGTCAGGGTCGTGCAGGAGGCAACCAATCAATGTGTCTCTCTCACACCGATGTTTCTCTCTTCTCTCTTTCTCTCTCTCTTCTCCTTCCACTTTATCTAAAATTTAAAAAAAAAAAAAATAGAAAATCCTGGGTACAATTTAGATAAAGTTTGAGTTTATGTGTTTGTCTGCGTGTATCTCAACAGATTTTTTATAATTTGGGGCATATTTTTATGAAAACTAGACACTGAGTTCCGCTAGAGTAGAAACATTAAGAAAATGTGTGTCAAAATATAGGCTCTAGAGGACTTCTGCTCTCAGCTATGACAGAGGCTTATACAGACCAAGACTCTCCCCAGGGGAGACTACAAATAAAATAAGTCAAAGAGGAAGAAACACGGTTTGTTTCAGACACCAGACGAGGGAGGTCCTGTGCATCGGCCCAAAGGCGGGGGAAGGTGAGCTCTGGGGGTGAGCCGGTGTGCCGTGGCGCACACACGCCCCCTGGCGGGGGGGCTCCAGAGCACCGCCCACAGGCTAGCGGGCTGGGTTGCGGATGACCTCCAAGTTCGGAGAAGCCAACAGCGCTTTCTGCAGTATCAGGCACTGAGGAGCCTCACATGTAATACCTCCTTGCCAAGACAGACTGCGAGGTCCAAATCCCTGAAAGTACAGGGGCACAGAAAAGTCTAACACACCCGCAGCATCTGCTTCCACCCGCACCCTCGAGATGCCTGCTGTTAACAGCACAGGGCTTTACACCCAGAAGTCAAGCAAAGGATCTGAAATGTAATTTATCAGAGATGTGTATGCTAGGTAAATAAAAACTGGAGTTCTTGACCCGTACAGAAAGACACACTTTGATGAATACTACAGGTTTTGGCTGGAAAGTGAACAGCCTAAAAGGCAGGGTGCACCAGAGGCAGACCAATTCTTACAGTTTGGGGCTCAGCCTGAAGGCACCAAAGCCCCTGACAAAATTAAAAATG